CTTGGCTTTAGAAACAAACTGAATGTGATTGATTTTCCAAAACAATCATCTTCAGTTTGAGGGGGGAATGTTAGCTGTAATAAATACTCATGTACTGTTTGTTAAGGGATTCTGTTAGATCTGGTAGTTAGTTGCTTGACTTCTATATTGTATAAATACTCTGTAATGACTCTTTCTCATCTATGATGATTCACTTTCTAATTCTATCTGCACACCAACCCCGTATGAAAAGACAAAATTGCCCCTCCTTTAACAATTTTGTTAGCCTTCAACATATTCCTGATCGAGAGCACTTTTGCCTTTTCATATGGGGTTTGGGTGCAAAAACATTTTTTTAAAACGGGTTGCAAACTCCAATTTGAACAATAAACAATAACAACAACACCCAAGCCTTAATCCCAAAAGATTTCGGGGTTGGCTAACATGAATCGATCCATGATAATGACGCAAAAAAGAGAAGACAGATAAGAAGAAAAAAGATAAAACGAAGATTATAAAGATATATAAATATAAGAACGATAAAAGATTAAAAGATAAAAGAACATAAAAAAGGAGAAGATAATAATAACATAAGAACATAAAAAGACAAGGATGATAAACAATAAAGGAAAGAAAAGAAAACGAGAGAGGGAAAAAACCCAAGAAGACGCATATCGGTTTTGATTTCTCTAATCCAAGTCTGTTTGGGTCTTCCCTTCCCTCTCCTCTTTGTTTGTTCTCCCCACCCCTCGAGTCGTCTAACAGGTGCATCACTTGGTCTCCTACGCACATGTCTAAACCACCGAAACGAGACTCCTGCATCTTACCTCATTCCTCAAGCGATCTTTTATGGTATTTCTACACATCCAACACAACATACACATCTCCGTCACACTCATTTTTTGAATGTGACATTGTTTCACTGCCCAACACTCTACGCCATACATTAATGTAGGCCTAATTGTTGTTCGATAAAATTTACTTTTCAGTCTAGTCGGCTTACCTCGATCGCATAGAAATTCTGATGCACTCTTCCATGTCATCCACCCAGCTCTGATTTTATGGGATACATTTTCATCTAATTCACCATCCATCTGGATTATGGGTCCTAAATAACGAAACATATCACACATCAGTATCTCCTTACCATCAAGAGTAATCCCATGTTAGCTACTACTTCTACCTCCACCAAACTTGCACTCCATATATTCAGTCTTGCTTCGACTTAGTCTGAAACCCTTGGTCTCCAAATTTGTCGCCATACTTCCAACTTAGCTTTAACACCCGATTGTGTCTCATCAATCAATACAATATCGTCAACAAACATCATGCACCACAGTATATCTTCTTGAATTGACTTCGTAACTTCATCCATGACTAGCAAATGAGTAAGGACGCCAAGCCGATCCTTGGTGTACTCCGATAGTAATAGAGAACTTTGCGGTCCTCCCTACGATAGTACGGACACGCGTAGTACAAGCCTCATACATACATATCCATAATGATGTTGATAAACTTACGTGATATGACTTTTCTAGTTAAGGCCCATCAAAGAACTTTTCGAGGTACCCTATCATATGCCTTTTCTAAGTTAATGAACACCAAATGCATGTTAGTGTCTCTATACTTCTCCACAACTTGTTTAAGAAGGTGAATGATCTCAGTTGTTGACCATCCACACATAAAACCAAACTGATTCTCCGAAAATTTCACACTTTTTCGAAGTCCTTGCTCAAACACTTTTTCTCGATAGTTGGCACATTCTTATACATCACCCTTATTTTTAAATAAGGGAATGAGAGTCGCCAACTCATTGGCATGTTGTTCTTTCTCCAAATCATGTTGAAGAAACGTGTTAGCCACTCAATGCCTTTGTCTCCCAAACTTCTCCAAGCATCAATCAGTATGCCATCTGGGCCCACTACTTTCTTTCGCCCCATTTTTCTCATTGCCTCTTTAACTTCTGCTATTTGGATCCTTCTCATGAAGTCCTGATTTACCATACACTCTGGTATAGTAAGATCATCAATACCTTGCACCTTATTCCTGTAAAACAAGATATCAAAGTCCGACATCCACCTCTCCTTTATTTCCCCGTCCTCCATCTGTACCCTTTGATTGACATCTTTCACATCCTTTGAACAATAAAATGGGGTGCAAATTCAAATTACCACTCAATGCCTTTGTCTCCCAAACTTCTCCAAGCATCAATCAGTATGCCATCTGGGCCCACTACTTTCTTTCGCCCCATTTTTCTCATTGCCTCTTTAACTTCTGCTATTTGGATCCTTCTCATGAAGTCCTGATTTACCATACACTCTGGTATAGTAAGATCATCAATACCTTGCACCTTATTCCTGTTAAACAAGATATCAAAGTCCGACATCCACCTCTCCTTTATTTCCCCGTCCTCCATCTGTACCCTTTGATTGACATCTTTCACATCCTTTGAACAATAAAATGGGGTGCAAATTCAAATTACCCCTAATGGAACCAGCTATGGAGCATTATTAATAAGGATAATAGTATAACAATAATAAACTTATTACGTAGTAGCTACTTCAGTCTATTATAAACAATGACCATAATTATATTAATTATTGCTAATATATTATATTTTTACGTTTAGACGAACATAACATCTTAGCAACCACTGCTTTATGTTTTTTGCCATTTTGTTGGACCTTTTATGTTGACCAAAAATATTCCCATTGTGTCAAATATGAGAGATCTACCACTCAGTCATCATTGAGATAGACCTAGTAATAAGCCACCTTTTAGTAGATCTTAGCATACCCCCTCCAGCCCAAAATTATCTTCATCCTTTCTTTTTTCGTCGGTCTCGACTCTTGAAGTAATCTTCATTATCCTTTCATGCCAATGAATTTCAGTTCGTATTATTCTTCTTTTCTGGATAACTTTTAACAACACATGCCTTCTTCATTCCAAACATTTTGAGACGAAGGGAGAATTTGTTTAATAAAAAAAAATCCAAGAAAAAGAAGACTAGTTTAATGAGTTTATTATCCACCTTGATCTATCAGCCATTAGGTGCCCTTTTTTTTTGAATTAACACATACTTTTATTGTCTTTTCTGGTATTTGTTTTTAGCAGTTATTCCGCCAGATCGGGAGTAACCAGAACATGTATGTTGGGTGTTACGTGTAGTAAATAACTTGATGTTGGCTAGTGGTTGAATGCTCAGTAGAGTTTTTATTCCAGGAGGTAACATGTAGTGAAGAACTTGGCATGGCTTGTGTAACGACTGTGATGAATGCTTAGTAGAGTTTTTATTCCAGGAGGTACCATGTAGTGAACTAGTGAAGAACTTGGCAAGTTGGCATGGCTTGTGTAACCAGTGATAAATGCTTAGGGTTTTTACTCTTATGTTTCGTATTTTTAATACGTAATACGTATGCTATTAAATTTATGCTGATACAGTAACTTTCGAAATTCTAAAAGTTGTACTCCGTATAATTTAATGGAAAAATCGCTACATAACCTTAAAAAATGGGTCAAGTGAAGTTAGGGTCTGTTTGCAACTGCTTTTAAAAAAGCATTTCTCAACTTTTGGCTTTAAAAAAGCACTTATTTTCCCAAACACTACAACTTTTATTTTCTCGGCTTCCGCGTCAAAAGTGCTTTTACTTTTTCTATTACACAAAAAACACTTATTTTACCAAATACTACCCACTTTTACTTTTCAAAATCACTTTTTTCTCAAACACTATCAACTTTTATTTAATCATTTCTCCCAATTTCATTAAAAAAACACTTTTTTAAAAGCAGAAGCTGTTGCAAAGAAACCCTTAGTAGCATATGTTTATTTATTGAGGTATTAACAATTTTGTTGGCAATATACAGCCGGTAAAAGTTAAAGTGTTGTATTTAAGCGTGGACCTGGTACCGATCTTGCTTCGTAGTTCGTAATCAGAGATCATTCAGAGGCCTGGAGCCCGACCCGGAAAATAGGGTCCTGGTCTGGTTTTTTTAATTATGGAGTATTTATTATGTTTTTAATTATTAGTATAAACAAAAAATGTTGCATACTAAATATGATATATAAATTTATTTAAAAAATTACATACATTTTTATTCGTCAGAACGCATACTTATAGTATTGATGGTCATTTTCTCGGTGACGGACCTTCAGCCAATCGTGAAAGCAAAAGAGCGTCTCAATTAGGCCTGGACTCGGGCCGGTTCGGGCCCAGTTCAGGCCTGGGCCCGGACGGGCCTCGGGCCAAGAAAGGGGAGGCCCGGGCCCGAACCGCCGGTGGCTGGTTCCGGTTCCGGTTCCGGGCCAAACCGGGCCGGGCCGGGCCTAACCGGCCCAATTTTTTTTTTTTTTTGTTCTCCTATTTAATCCCCTACCCCTCCCCCTCAACCCTCGGGCCGAGCCTAAGCCCGGAACCAGAGCCAGTTTCCCGGGCCAGGCTGATTTCGCACAATAGAGGTCCAGGCCGGTTTCTCGAGTCCATCCCTAATGCCCCCCATAGGAGGGACATTAAATACATTATAATTTATAACTAGTGATACAATTTTTCTTTGCCTGAAGCTTGGCGTTTGTCCCCACCCCACCCCCCAAACTTCCCAGGCCCACCCACCTAGCAGACAATCCAACCCGAAAAAAATTTAAAAAAAATATTTTGGTCAATAGCGGGCCGGGTCGAGCCGGTCCATCATTTAGCAAGCTCGTAGCCCGCCACATTAATGCCCCGGTTCGAGCCCCAGTCCTTGACCCCTGGTCCCAGTCCCGGGCGAGCGGGTCAGTCCAGCACAGTAATGGGCTGGTCCGGCTCCCGGGTTGGGCCGAAACGGCCCCATCCACCCCTACCTTATAGGCTTATACTTCCGCCCACCCATCTAGAAGAAATGGTTGGAAAGTTTTCAAATGGTGTCAATTTGACATTCTTCCTCTAGCTCCACCGAAATACAGATCTAATTTGTACTCTTAGACTTCATTTTAAGTGACAATCATTTTAATGTATTAGCGATGATAACTTTAAATTGCAAACAATTGATTACATCATCTAATTCTTCATGTAGATAAACAAACATAATTATGTAATTGTTTAGGCAAAATATCGATAATTCCTTCTAACAATCAATATGAAAATATGGGACTCGTTTTTGGGTTTAGAATGTGCATGTATATGTCTTGTAATTGGTAGCTACTTGTACTCCTTTTGTGTTTCAAAAAAGAAAACAATTTCCCTCCCTTATGGACCGAAATCTGAGGAGAGAACGGTAAAGATTCATACCATTCTTGTAGAAGAACGCTTGTTTGTAAACTTGGTCGTTGATTCTCCAGGTATGACTTCCACTCTAATTCCTGATAGATCCGTCGAGTTAAGGCGTTCCCGTCACAATGTGAAGTCTTCACCTAATCTGATTCAAAGCTCATCTGTAGTCTCACTTGAAGATTCAAGTCAGGAATCAGAGAGTTCCGAAGCGGGTGGAGGAGAGAATGCAGATGTATATATCCCCATCCAAGTGGTCTACCTTGTTGCTCAAGATCCGGCCTCTTTCTATTCCGGTGAAGTGTCCTACTTCGTCTACTGGTATGCACCTCTTTTTTTTTTACTTAGAATTTGCGTTTAGGAATTGCCTTTCTCTGATGATTCTGACTGGTTTCCTGCCTCTAAAATTGACAGCTGCCTCCTCATCTAGTTCTCAGTTAGTTCCCTTGGATTTTGAACCCTGTCTATGGCCTCTAGGAAGAAAAGGGCGCCCTCAAAATTATCTTCTCCCTCTCCTAAAATTCCCAAGTGTTCTTTTGCAGAGGTGACAAAGACCTCTACCTTGCCTTCTGGGATACCTAAAGCTGAATTCGGCCCTGTTCCATTGAAGATGATTGCATCCTTCTCCTCTGATTTCTGCTGCCTGAAAGATGCTTTGTTGATGAAGGACGAGATGTCGTAGGTTCTGCTTCCATCATCTTCTGCTGCTTTTCAGGGTTTGTCTCCCACTGGCTTGGCGCTGGCTTCATCCGCTTTTACTTTCCAGGTCTTTTACTTTATATTGTTAATCTATCTTGGCAACTAATGGTAGTCTATACCTGGTAGTGATGTTGTGGAAATCGAGTTCGGCTCGACTCGGTAAAGCTCGGACTCGACTCGTTTATTCCAGGAAACGAGTCGAGCTCGAACTCACTGTTTTACTCGATAAGATTAACGAGCCGAGCCGGCTCGATTCGAAAAACCCGATAAGGCTCGTGACAAGGCTCGTGAGATGGGTACATTGCCATTCTATCAGATATTAGGTTTAGCCGTTTAGGCCCATTAGTGCTGACTGAACATGTGTTGTAGACTTGTAGTTAATAAGTGAGTTTTCAAGTTCGAGTTGTCAAGCTTGAGCTGTAAATAGGTTTAACGAACCGAGTTCGAGCTCAAATATAGAATCGAATTTTTAACGAGCCGAGCTCGAGCCAGGCTCGAAAAATGTGCGTGTCGAGTTCGAATTTGTGATACTCGGGCTCGGCTCGAATAACAACACTAATACCTGGTATGTTGATTGAACCCATTTTAATTTACAGAGCACACAAGCTAACAACGTCAGCTTAAGAGAAGTACCATATGTAGCCACTTAAGAGAAGTACCATCTGTAAGCACAAAAATCTCAGAAATTAGTCATCACACCCTTTTTTCATCACAGATAGTGCACTGCTTTACTCAGGCTAAATATGCATCACAAGGTTCACAAATTACACATATAATTCAGTTCCATTCATCACAGATGGGACATCATTTAACTCAGCCTTAATCTACACCAGTAAACGTGTTTATGTAATCAACAACTTTGATTCATCAATGGCGGGAGTAAAGTAATATCACGCCGAATCAACAGAACAACTCACAATTTTAACTTATGCCTCAGAACAGACTCATCACAGGCAAGACATAAGAAAAATAATGCCACAGAACCTCAGAAATTAGTCATGACAAGGTTTTTGCATCACAGACAGTGCACTGATTTACTCAGGGTAAAGATGCATCACAAGCTAAGGTTCACAAATTACACATAATTCAGTTCCATTCATCACAAGCGGGACATCATTTAACTCAGCCTTAATTAATAAGCATCTACACCATTAAAAGTGTTTATGTAAGCCACAACTTTGGTTCATCAATGGAGGGAGTAAAGTAATATCACGCCGAATCAACAGAACAGCTCACAATTTTAACTTATGCCTCAGAACAGACTCATCACAGGCAAGACATGAGAAAAATAATGCCACACAACCTCAGAAATTAGTCATCAGTTTTTTAGCACAGACACTGCACTGCTTTTACTCAGCCAAAACATCACAACGTTTATTAATCACACACAGTACACGAGTAAAATGAGTACCGATCAGCAGCAGAAAGTTCAAAGATCACAGACACTACACCGATGAATACAGGTCAAATAAGCATCACAAAGTTCTTACTCCTACATTACAGTAGAACCTCAAACAAACCTGCTACACACGGTAGACAACAAAGAAATGAAATTAGGCAGTAAGAACTCCCCTATGACAACCAGTCATCAACGTCAGCCGTAGCGACAGGGGTTGGCGTCGCTTCCCTTAGCTTTTGGAACAGACCTCCATGCAACGGTAGTCGAGGTGCTCAAGGCCGTCTTCACTATCAGGTGCAATCAGCCCCTCGTAACGTTTCCTCCCTTTCCAAGTCAGATTAGTATCGTCGGGATGGAGATAGGTACCATTATGGAGAAAGACATCCTTCGGAATCAAATAGGAATTCCCAGCCACCGTCAATGGGAGGGGCAAGTGAAGTGAAATCCCCAGAGTGAAGGATATCGACGGCCGGAGATTTAATAAGGTCTGCCTCTGAGTGCGACGCTAGGAGTGCGACGCTAGGAGTGCGCCATGGTCGCCAGCTGCAGATGGAGTGGAGACCTTTGTTTTTCCGGATTCCATGAGAGCTCAAAGGTTCAGGCAAGTGTAAGAAGGCGGAAGGGTTGAAAATGGAGAGATGAAGGCTACGTTCGACAGACTTTTTCAGGTGATAATCGGTTGAAAATTTCCAAATTAAGCTAATTACAATATCATTAAACTTGTTTGGCAGAAAGGCTTATATGTGCTTGAACTGAAATTGTATGACTAAAATCAAACGTTTACAACAGAAGTGTTTCATTCAGCCCATGGAAAGAAGACTTCCGCGTTCCAAGAATATCCCTGACTGACCCAACCTGGATTCACGTCTCACACAGCTTCAAAAACTCATTTTGTCATTCTCTCACCTAGAGCATATATGCTCCCTTACAAAGCAATTTTACCGGGGTGTTTTTGTGGTTCATGCGGAAAGCTCACAGGGAGTCAGGGATCAATATGGGGGAGCAGGTTGACGGTAGCAGAATTACTCCCAAAATAATTTAGTTTGAGATGTGTAGACGTAGTATTATAGTTTGAGTATGTACTAAAATTTTAAAAGGCTGAAAATATTAAAAATGTTATAATAAATAATTTATTCTATTAATAAATTATATACCCTTAAAGGTAATTTCATATTATCCCAACACTTTTTCAGCTCTCTTTGCCAAACGGGTCTACTCTATTCAACTAGTGTTTCAGATTCAGCACTTCAAAATTCAGCTTCAGACAATTGCCTCTAGTTCAGACAATAGTATCTAATTTAGACATTAGCCTCCAGCTTCAGCTCGTCGTGCCGAACATAGCCGGAGTAGGCTAATAGGTAGGGTTACGAGTTAAGAATGGCAATTTGGACTGCAAGTAAGGTATGATGACTGGACCGAGAACTGATGGGCATTTGGACACATTAGGTTTTGAATTTCAAAATTAAGGGTAAAAATGATAATTCAGAACCTATAATTGAGGGTAGAATAGAGATATTGGTGTATTTTTATTTCCGTTTTTAGAAATGGAAAGATTTTTTTGTTACGGAAGAAAAAGGAAAGTTGGAAGATTTTTTTGATATGGAGAGAGTATTTCTTTTGCAACGTCGTTAACTATGATTAGTACTAATAAAAAAAATTATTATTAATAATAAAAAACCTGTTCGGTTCGGTCCAAACCAATAATTTGAGTCTACAACCCGATTCCAAACCGTTTTTTACCAGTCCCGATTTTCGGGTCCCAAATATTATCGGTTCGGTTCGGTTTTTTCAATGCGATTCGGTTACTTTCGGTTCATTTTTCGGTTCGATATGCTAGCTTTAGTTGTTTTACAACCCATCGTATAGGTATATATAGGGGCAGAAGGGAGTGTGTAATCAAGCAAACATTATATACATTGTGGGTATTATCCGATGGTTATTTCGTTCTCAATCTCTTTTTTGAGATTTTGTAGTACAGACATTTATTGTTGCGTGCTAGCCCGATCAAGCAAAAGGGATATAGTTTTTAAAATTCGAATAAACCCATATACAAATTGTTAATACAATACAATACTACGTACATTAAATGAGATATTTTAAAGTACATTGTATGCCCACTTTTTAGTATTAAAAGGCACAGTGTTCGAAATCTGAATAGATTGTGTGAATTGTGTGGTTCTACAATTTTGATGGGTAGATTTTTTCATCAACGATGTGCATGCCATATAATAAATCTATGTGTGCAGGATGGTCTAGAAGCGTTGGGAGATGCTATGGAGGTAGCCAAGGGGGGGATTAGACGTATTTGGGCTAATGGTCAACTTAAATTAAAATGGAAAAATTATTTGAATGAAAGAAATGTGAAATATGTTGCTTTTCCTAAAGATTTGTCTATTCGGTGGAATAGTTCTTATAAATTAATTAGAGTTCTTATTAGATATAAAGAACATTTTCCTGCTTTTTAAAAAGAATATGATAACTACATTTTAAACTCCGCTCACATCGACAGTTGCGAAAAAATTTGTAATGTTTTGATATATTTTAATAATGCAATTGAAAGTTTTAGTCCTGTTTATAAACCTACTTCAAACGAATTTATTCGTGAACTTGTTAATCTCGCCGGTGCTTTTAATGAATTTGCAAATGCCGATTATGTGAGCTATTTTTGTGATTTTATGAAGGAAAAGTTTTTAAAATATTAGAGAGAATTAACCTAATAGGACTAAAACTTGGAACAAATGCAAAAATAGGACTCCTATGTTTAAATTGCAAAACTAGGACTACAAATTACCTAATTGGACAACAATACCCTTAATGATTATCTATCCAGTACTTAACCGGTAGACTAGAATTGGCGATAATATTACTGCATACATCTGATCGACTGGTCCGGTAGAAAATCCATAGCAGCGCACCGTCGAGGTGATTTTCCTCTTTCCATTCTTCTTCCTTCTCCTTCTTTCTTCTTCTTCGTTCTTCTTCCTCATGTTCTTCTCATCTTCTTTTTCCAGATCCTTGTTTCTTCATTTTTCAATTTGTTTATTATTAATTCATTTACTATTTCAGATTATAAATCAAAATACTGCTTTGGATATGACAACTTGAGATAAAAACGACAATTCAACGAACAGTCATGATCAGAAATATTTGGATTTGGGTTTTTATTACTTTTTTGGTTTTTGATTAGATATGTTTATGAAAAGACCATAAATGCTTGTTATTAGAAAAAATGTCACTTTTATGTCATTATATTATATCAAGATGTCAATATTTTAATGACATTTTTTTAACTGGATTGCCAAATTTTGTCATTTTTAACAATATTATTTCTGAAAACTCCATGATGATGGATGTTTCATATAAAAACATGACATTCTCTCATATCAAGTGGCATTCCTCAGGGAGGTCTGCACAGAGTCACTGGAGGGCAGATCTTTTGTCACTTTTATGTCATTACAATATTTGAAAATGTCATATTGAGAATGTCATGTTTCTACATGAACAAAAACAGAAGTATGTAATTTTTTTACATTCAACCTATCCTTAAATGTCATATAAAAAATAAACATGTCAATTTTTAAAAAATGACATCTTGTTTACTGTGATGTTAAAATAATGTTAGCATTTTGGAATAGAAAGATGACAATTACATTTGTTAAAACATGTCATTTTTGAGCAGGTCAAAACTGACATCCTAACAAATGCAATACCATAAAAGTAGCATTATTTTTAAATGGCACTATTTTGTCAAACGGGCAAAAACATGACATTTCTTATATTTTAACTTCAAGGTGACCTTGTCATTTTAATGTATTTGTGACATTTTTCAATTCAATTTTAAATAGTTATGAAATTTTCAAATTCAAAAATAAAAAATAAATTAAAAAATCCAATAAAAAAAAGTTCGAACACTCCAACCTTGTTCAATTCCCACCCCCTCCAACCTTATTTAATTGCCATCCAATTTATCAGATCTAATTGAATCCCAAGAGACAAAAAACAGAGTACGGCCAACAAGGAAACGAAAGAGAGGAGAGGAGAAGAGAAGAGAGGAGAAGAGAAGAGAAGGAGAAATTACTTGATTCCATGGGTAAAATTGTAGAAGGCTGGCGGAGATGGAGAAGACTGGCGGTTGCTATGGCTACTGTACCAACGAGCGGCGGATACGGCTGTGGTACCGACGAGCGACGACAGCAATGGAAGACTAGAAAACCCCAGATTGCTAATTTCTAATACGTGGGAGGCGGTGATGTCGGATTTAATTAGGGGAAGGGCAAAAATGTAATCTGGAGTCCTATTTAGGGATAAATAAACTTATACTCCTATTTTGGAGTTTAGTCAATGTTTTAGTCCTGTTTTGGATAATTTCTTAAAATATTATGCACATATTCCGCATATTCATGGTATTGCATTTATTCTCGATCCTCGTTATAGACTTGGTAATTTGGAACAATGTTACAAGTTCTATTATCAATCTTTTTATGGTGATTTTCCAATGTATGAAGATAACCCTATAGATCCGCAATCTGAATACAACGAGGTTAGTAGTTTATTCTATTCTTTATTTAATGAGTTTCGTGCACTGTTGCAACGCGCCCCCTCCCCCGACCCAAACATCTTCATCTAAAGGAAAATCACTTTAAATCTGCATTTGGCAATCTTATGAAAAAACTAAAACAACGCACACTACTGAACAAAGCACAATTAATGAGATTGCTTTGTATACTAACTATGAGGTTGAGTTTGTAGAAAATGAAGAATTTGACGTCCTAAAGTGGTGGAAGTCAAAAGAAAGAATGTTCCCGATTTTAGCACGGATGGCTAAGCAAGTACTATCAATGCCGGTTTCAACAGTTGCCGTGGAACAAGAATTCAGTTCGGTCGGCAACGTCCTAACTAAATCGAGAACGTGTTTAAGTGCCGAATCTCTTGAGACGCTTATATGTTACCACGATTGGTTGAAGGCAAGACGTAGAACTCAAGAAGTTAGCATCACCCCATCCCAAGACTTTATGGATGAATCAACCGAGGGTGGTTCTACCTGTGCCGGGGATTCTGATTGATTAGTATTTTACAATTTATTATTTTATCCTCAATTCTCTATTGTAATTTGTCAACTTGTAGATTTGTAGTTCATATTTCAAATCAATAAACATTATATTTTTTTATATGTCGCATTTCTCAAATTAATCAAGTTACAACTTACAACTTACAACAAATTAATTATATTATATTATTATTACTTATTACAAAATGTATTAGAATTAATTGTTCTCAATTCTCAAAATGTACTTATTACTTATTTCGCATAAATGTACTTGAAGATTGTTTTTAAAATCCAAGTAGATGTATAAGTTAACAAAAAAAATTATATAAGACCCGACCTGACCCGGGGCCCGGCCGGGTCACCCGGCCCGAACCGGCACTCGCCTATAGGCGGGCCGGGCCCGGGCCCTATATTTCTGAACCGAGGCCCGGCCGGGCCCAGGCCCGAACCGGTCCCGAACCGGCCCGAGTCCAGCCCTAATTGAGAACCTGGAATTTGATGCCTTGCAAAAATAAGTCCCATATGCTGCCACACTAATTGAGCTACCATACAATGCCTGAAAAGGTGCAATTTTGTCTCCTGTTCCTGTTCACAAACCTTGCATAAAGGATCAACCCCCACACCCCGCCTCTTTAATTTATCATTAGGAGGAAGTAAACCATTCATGAACTGGGGGAAAAAAATTATTTTTGGTGTTAAATGAAAATTCCACATTTTTGTCCACCCAACCCACCCATGCGGGCTAGTCTCCCCCACAAGCAAACGGTAACCACTTTGAACAGAAAACTCCCTCTTGGTTCGCCCACCCAACTCATTCCATCTCGCACCCTCCTGTTTATACGGGGATACTCAAAATAGTTTTAGCCTCCTCATTAAAAAGCTTTTTAATTTTACCAACATTTCAAACACTCCAATCATCTCTGGTAAGAGCAGCCACATTCATATCCCGCACTCCCGGGGTCGCGGCGATGTAACTTTTCTGTCCCCTTTTCAAGGAATCCACGCATGACCCCACACCATGGTTTCTTTGCGATCACCTGTTACCCCTAATTTCAAGGGGAAAAAGTGATATCATCAAACCGCAAAATATTTGGATATAAAATATTATAGAGTACTTACTTAGTCATTAAAAAAAAGAATAAGAACTCATTAAACAAGAGTGCATTCATGAGTCCTATTTAAGGGATTAAATTTACAATATTTTACTACTATTTGAGGATTTTTCTCTGTTGTTACTTTATACTCCCTCCGTATTATTTTACTAGTCTTACTTTCCTTTTTGAAAATAAGTGTCCAATTTCCCTTTTCGAAAAAAATATGTGGTTTACAACATTTCATTCAAGGTTTTAAATAGCTGTAGCGGTAGCGGCCTGTAGCCGACTGTAGTGATTGCAACGGCGTGAAATAATTTCAATTGCGCAAAACATATATTTAATGAGTGTTGAAGTTAACACAAACATTGTGAATATTTGTTTGAACACTTATAACATTAAGAGTTCATTTACACAACATAGACACATTTACACATCAACCCGTTCGTGACGTACTGCCGGAAATGTCAATTGCGGGCTGTAGCGGGCGGCGTAGCGGGATTTTCCCGTGATTTGAAATTCATAATGGAATAGCGGGCCGTAGTGGTAGCGGCCCCTACCGTGACCCCCGCTATAGCGGTAGCGAGCCGCTATTTAAAAACCTGATTTCATTTTATTATATTCAAATCTTAAGCACAACTTTTATTTTTTCAACCACTTTATTAAATATTGTGCAAAAACCAAATGAGACAATGAGACATATAAAATGGGACAAATGGAGTATGATATTTTTAAATATTATGTGCATTAATGTTAAAAACTTTCAAAATTCACACTAATTAAATAACATATTATGTACATTAATGTTAAAAACTTTCAAAATTCACACTTATTTAATATGTCATAGAGTATATATGTTTGAACGTTTTTTTTGAAACATTTAGTATTGCTAATATTAAACGCTTTTTTACGAACGTTTAAGCAAAATAGTGTCTTTAGTAGTGACTGAATTAGTTTTGTCAAATGTTTTTGCTAATTTATTTGTTAACACATGTTTTAAATGTGATTAGATGTTTGTTGATCAATCGCTTTAGCAACTCGCTTGAGGGAACTTTCAATTCCGCAAATCAGGAAGTTAAACTCTCGTATAGTGACATTGTTCACCAATTACATGGTGATCAAGAGTCACGTGATAATGCTAAGAAGCAGTCACGTGATAATGATAAGAAGCTAGCCACCCGAATAGTCAAAGCTTACAAAACCTGCAAGCAAAAGAAATTGCTCAAGTAATAAATTGTCCCTACACTGATGAGAACAAGTCTGATCAAAAAGAAGTACGAAAACTTGCCAACCAAAGACATCACTCATCAGGCAAGTTCCATATTAAATTTCATTTAAATTTAATTATTTACTCTTTTATTTGATATTATATGACAAATCTTAACCTTATTGATACTTTAATTAAAGTTAAGATTTACCCTGTAATATCAAGTAAAAGAGCAAAGTAATTAAAGTTCAATGAAATTTAATTTGAAACTTGTTTGGTGTCTTTGGTTGGCAAGTCTTCGCACTTCTTTTCGATTAGACTTGTTCTCATCGGCCCAGGGACAATATCTTGCTAAAGCGATTGTTGTTTGTGGTTGTTACCACGTGTCTGCTTCTTATCATTATCATGTGACTCTTTATCATCATTTAATTGAGGAACAATGTCACCATATGAGATAACTTCCTTATCTTCAGAATTGAAAGTTCCCTCAAGCGAGTGTGTTACGGCGATTGCCCAACAAACATCTAATTATATATAAAACGTGTAATAACAAATAAATTAGCAAAATCGTCTGACGGTATTAATTCAGTCACGACTAGGGAAAATATTTTGCTTATACGTTCGAAAAAACGTTCAGAACAAATGTACTGGAAGAAAACATGTAAGTCGAGTATTTTTACATATAATTTTTCATTATTTTATTAATAAATATTTTAAAATAATTTGTCTTAGATTAGCAGAATCAACCAATACAGCTACTTCAGCCAGAATTTCATAAATTTAAGCAGAATCATCCAAAACAGTTAATTTGCGTGCTAATAAACATGGTCTATATGTGCGCATTTGATTTCTTCATTACCCAAAAAGTAGCATGTGTGGGATGCTCATTTATTAAACACTTCACTGCTAATATAGTAACGCAATGCAAATTGCAAAATGCGTTTTCTAGCTTCCTGCCGCCTGAACGAATCTTTTCTGGGTCATATTCTTTATTTGTTTGTTAAGATACGGAATACTTTAACGAATGCGCGTGAAGGACAAATGTTCACCCCATTAATATTTTGAAAGAATGACCAAAATAAAACTAGTTTTAGATTTGATAAACGCACCCAGCCCATTTCCTGCATCTTTGAGATGGCACCGTCCCTTCATCTTCCTTCTTCGCCCATCCATCTTCACTACGCCTCCCGCTGAACACCTCACGCAGCCGGCCATCGCACCACCACCTACGCTACCATCAGGCGTCGGCTCATCCACCGGCATCCGAAGTCGTCACTTCCGTCAACATCGACTTCTCCGCGTCCGCCCGCATACCACATCGCCGCGTCCATCTACAATATGCTACGAGTTTTCTTCTTCATCTTAAATCTCTTCCGATAGATGAAGCTTTGACAAGATGGACGGCCAAGGTTGAGAGAGACTTTCATCGTTGTCCTTGTTTCCAGATCTATGGTGAGGTTCGGCGATGGCGACAGCTAGAGCTCGACGATGGTGGCGGTGGCTAGGCTTCAAACTTCGGGGATGGCGACGACGACTTAGTTTAACAGACGGATGAAGGCTAAGGGGGGGGCTAAGGTTTGTGACTAGAGGAGGGAAATGGTGGATTGGGGTCGGGCTATGCAGATCTGGAATAGATTCCGGTTGGGGAGGGGTGGGATCAGGGGTTGGGTTGATCGGAGCAGGTCAGGAGGCTGGGGTGGGGCTGGAGCTGGGGAGGGATTGAGGAAATATGGTTGTTGACGGAGGCTGGAATGTGTGGCGGTGACCAGAGTTTTTGAGACGGCGGCGAATTTGGCGATACAGTGACTGTGTATGTGGTGGGATAGTGATGATGGCGTGGATGGGGTTGATGGTAGAGTGTGGTGATTGAAGGGCAAGTTTGGTCGGCAGCTACAAAGGCGGCAATGGTGGAGTGGTGGTGCTGTCAGTAGGGGTGTGCATTAACCGGGTCAGACCGTATTTTAGACCTGAACCGGACCGGAATGGACCGGTCCGGACCGGACCGGTATAAACAGGTCCGGGTTTCGGTCCTTAGAATTTTAGGATTCCGGGTTTCCGGTCCGGTCCGGGTCAAACCCGGAAAAAACAGGTCCGGACCGGTTGACCGGTTAAATTAATGTTCCTTAATGTTCCTTAATACTCCCTCCGTCCCTAATAACTTTGCCAAGTTTGACCGGCACGGGGATTAATAAAGTAAAAACTGTGTGGTTGAGGTTTGTGCAGAGGAGAGAGAATTAACTGGAACCACAAATTCTTTACTTAAATGGGAAAGTGGCAAAGTTAATGGGACATCCAAAAAAGGAAAGTTGGCAAAGTTATAAGGGACGGAGGGAGTATATATGCTTCGGTCCATTCGTTAAACATGGAAATTACGTTCGCTGCTACACCGCCTACAATGCCAACACCAACATACCCCTGCGGCAGATTTCCATCGAGTAGGTGCTCCTGGGTTGTTATATAAAATAATTTTAGATGTTATTGCTGACATTTAAAGTTTTCGTTGCATTGATACGACTTCTGCCTTATTTAATTGAGTTTTATCAATAAATCTAACCATTTTATATTGGAGTGTGTTGCTACTGTTTGTTGGCTTGAGGCCCCATAATGGGTTGAATTTTTTTTCTAAAACCATAATACTCCATATTTTTTTCTAAAACCATAATCATTTAAAAAACCGGGTGAATCAGGGTCAAAACCGGACCGGACCGGAAAAATCAGGTCCGGGTCGGTCTGGACCGGTTAGTAACAGGTCCGGTCTTCGGTCCTTAGAATTTTTAGATTCCGGTTCCGGTCCTAACCGGTTCCGGTCCGGTCCGGTCCGGTTTTGGACCGGTGCACACCCCTAGCTGTCAGGGTGGCGAGTGGCGCCGTGGCGGTGGTGTCAGGGTGGCGACTGGATTTGATTAAAATTTACTTTTTCACTGATCACAATGACATCAAGAATGGATATGTCTCTATGGCAGTGTCGTTGTGGTGGTGCCACTATGACGGCGTCACTATGGCGGTGTAATTGGCGTCATAAAAATTGACAATGACAACTCTTAGTTACAAAAAAACGAACACAGTGACATAAAATGTTTGCAATGACATCATGTTTTCTAATTCCTCATATATGATTTTCTTGATCACGCTTTTGCCTTTTTTTAAAAGTAGTCACTTTTTGTTAATTGGTTCAAAAGTAGTAATATTCAAGTAAAAAACCCTAATATTTTTCTGCACACGTATAATACACTTTGGCTTCATTTTTAATGGGGATTGCAAGGCGCACCCCATTATTGCTATTTGTAACCTTAGCTAGACCATGTTGCCCCTCCCATTTTTTTAAACTAAAGTAATCTAAACGAAGGGTTGCTATGCGCACTTATTAAATTGCTACTCCATATATTGACAAACCATTATGCTGCCACTTCGAAGGTAACTTTGGTTGATGACTCAAAAATTGATATAATTTAAATCTAGTGCAATTGTGCAAATAACATTTTTTTTAAAAATGGATAAAAACGATTTTTTGTGTATAGAATGTTAGACTATTTTCATTTCCTCTCGACATAAAATATATTGAATTGAATATCTTTTTATGATCCTTCATACGATAAATATAATATATTGCTTTTGTGAACTTTTGAACAATATTATTAGTGTATATTTTAAAAAACCGAGGAACTATTATGTAATTTTAGTTGTGAAGATAATTTACTAGGCAAGCTGTAATGCTATATATTTTCAATTTTATATTTGCTATTTGCAATTTAGTCTTATAATTTTTTACTATACTAATTATTAGTGTTGAACTTTATTCTTATGGTGTTGGGTCCTCTAAATAATAGGTCTTTGCAATTTAAGAATTTTTGAACCAGAGACAAAAAATTCAACAATGGCAACATAGTTTGCAGTTAATTTAACGATTTTTACATTACTTGTCGCCTTTTCTGTATTTTTAGAAATCATCACGAAAACATCTCAATTAAAAACATTCTAGATATTATCATGAAACACATTAAAAAAAGAATGAGATACAAATATTGAGGCATAAAAAAGAATGAGTATATTTAGTACGCTATATTTTAGAAGCATGTTACACAAAATTTTAGGAAATATTAAAACTTATTTTTATTTTAATGAAGCAATATGGCTTAGCAACCAAATTACGCATGTGATATGACCGCTTTTAATAGGGAAAACTTGGTGCGTGCGCCTAGCAACCTAGTTACATGAGTCAGACATTATTGTCCAACTTTGGTGGCGCGCCGAGGTCTGTTTTTAATAAATGTAGAGATTTACGGAGTATGCATCAATCATATCTAAAGTAGAGTACGGGACTGCTCGTGTAGCTCCTTTTTTTTGTAAAAGCAAAAAACACAGTAATAACTAATAACGTTCCAGCTCGTAAGTATTTTAGTTAGGAAAAGGTCAGAACATTTACTCTTGCATTTTACTTTTCCTAGATATCCTCTCCTCATTTTTCCTTCCCTCCTTTTACCTCCTCTCACCTAAACAAAAGCTTAGGAAAGATGTGAGATATGCTGATGAATTACCTTTGGGTGCTCAAAATCTTTTGCCTGCAAATAACATAGGAATTCGCAACTGAACTGTCAAATGATGATTGTCATGTTTTAATACCAGTAATACCTAAGAGACAAGTGAAAATATTGTTGGGTCACGATTGCGAGTCCGTAATTTTGCTCAGACCCATTCCATTACAAAACAATCATTGGAGATTTTGGTTGGATAAAGACGTTTGTGAGCTCACTGAACTCTCAATATCACTGCATCCTGACTTCTGTCCAAAACCTGTTCATATATAAAAGAGAAAATTATTATTCATATTACTAAAAGATCACGTATTTCCTAATGTATGACCTAGTAGTTTTTTTCCCTAGTTTGTTGCTTGTTTTTCAGCCTTCCCCTCACATGCATATTAAATCCTAAGCCTACAAAATAGCAGCTATCCCTAAATCCTACTCGTGTGTGGTGGTTATTAGTCATATTCTAGTAAAACTCATTTTCTAGTCATATAATGGGAATTCCTCCCTCTTTTAGTATTATTATAGTAATTTTCCCTATATAAAATTATAAAAATATGTTAAACCTGTTCATATATAAAATTATAAAAACATGTTTGTCTTAAAAAACCAAACTCGGAAAAGAAACTAAGAAAAACATGATCTACCTTTAGCAGCAGAAGTAATGGCAGAGAAACTTCTCTATGTCCACGATGGTTGAGTAACTAAACTGGTTAACTGGCAATTCCACAACCAGGTGCAATGAGACTTAGAATACTTAGTCATACTCAAATTATTATATTAAAAATACATGGACACTTACCTTGTCCATTGTATAAGTATAATGCTCCCAGAAATGGGTAGAGAGCCATGCCCCACCCATCTGACATATAGAATACTTAGGATCTCCTTCATTTGGATATGTTTTTGCCCATATATCAGACATGTGATGTACAAACCCAGCCTCTAGCTCCATACTTCACCTGCAAAGCTCTTTAAGTAAATATACTAATGCTTATAAATACCAGTATGGGGAGTAATATATAGGATAATAACCAGTCACCATCATTTTGTACTACTCTTAGTTAGAGCCCGTCTGGACCACGCCTGGGAGAGGAAGTTTTGACTAGGGCTGGCAATTTGAACCGAAAAAACGAAAACCGAACCGAAAATAACCGAACCGAATTGAAAAAACCTGAACCGGACCGAACCGATAAATTTTGGGACACGAAAAATTGGGACCCGAAAAAAATTGGTTCGGAGTCGGTTTATATAAATTAATTATCGGTTTGAACCGAACCGATTATTAATTTTGCTAATTAATTATTGTTATTAATGATGTTTAAAGAAGATATAGATACACTTTGAATGCAATCTGAATGTATTGTGCGCGTTGGTCTGCTGGTCAGCCATTTCAAAGCTTTCCTAGGCGTCAGGAGATCGAGTCTCAGCGCTGTTATAATTTTTTTAAACTTCCAGCTTCACTCTAACTCTTTTTACCCATATCACTTTGTCCCACACCGGACAAATAAGTAGGTTTTCTCCTTCAGATTTCTATATAAAGAGGGATCCTCTGAATGGAAATGGTGTAGCCGAGTAGGCTATGTATTGTCTAATACTACCTAGTCTTATTGAGTGGCCCTTATTGGGCTCAATATTCTTTGGGTTAGCCTTATTGGCAAAATTCATTGATTTATAGTTTCATTGAATTATAGTTCAGATTTAAGGTTTACTTTAAAATGGTCGGTTGGTTTCGGTTTTATGGTAAACCGACCCGAAAAATCGGTTCCCAACAAATTGGGACCCGATGGATGAGCGGTTCGGTGTCGGTTATGCTTATTAAGTAAACCGATTTATCGGTTCGGTTCTAAAATTCTGTAGATCGGTACGGTTCCCGAACCGAATCCAGCCCTAGTTTTGACATAATGTTTAGATGGGTTGTCAACTAAGAATAGTACACAATTGTATTTTATCTATCATTGTTATCCTTTTCATTAGCCTTTTCCTATTCCTAGCTTAACTTAAGAAGAGAAAAGAAATGATATATTGAGAACCGAACCTCTACTCTTGGATGAAAGACAGGAGCTTCATCTATGATGGGTCAACATGATTGAACTAGATTCCACCTTGCTAATTAATGACTGTTCTAAGATCTGGAAGAAGAAGAAACGGGGTAAGGAAAAAAATGCTAGATAAATTAGATGGATACTGTGACTGAGGTTTACTTGAGGATATTAAAAACCTAAAAACCTGGTCTAGTGGTCTACAGCCTGGTTTGATTGCCAACTGGTAGTGTACAATTCTATACTGTATAACAAAAGAGAGAGCTATGACACATTCAAAGAAAAACAAAAGGTTATGAGTTAAAACTATTAAGCTGACAATTTGAGAAAAAGATAACTTCAACGTGTGAACTTATGGGAATCTCTTAATACATTAGATAAGCATTACATACTAATGTAACAAAATAAAGGCATAAAAAACATAATGCAATCACGTTCTCTTGCCTTTAAACTCAAATGGCTAGCTGGAATTTCAAGGATGCTCCAGTTTTTCTAAGCATGTCTTGGATGGTGTTCCTATGAAGAGATTACAGTTAAGACTTGTTCCCATAAAAAGCTTATTTGGTGTTGGTTCTTCATCTGTTTCAAACAAAGTATTGCATACACTCAAAGAAATATACTTTCTAAGAACTTACGACATGCAAAGTGACATTCACAGTGAAATTTTGCTTCACAGAAGGAATTTCAACAAACAAAAAACACTTTAATTTGTATAGCTTCATATTACAGAATATAAGTTCACAAAAAAATCAGCCTAACTTAAGACACATAACTCATTACAGAGAATAGTAGATATATCTAATATCTATATCACAATAAATACAGTAATATAAAAATATTATAAACCATATGGATCTAAAATATGAAAATTAATAAATAAATAAAAGTGGAGCGGTTACCAGCTGTGAGTGCCCGCGGCGACGAACGAACGCGCGACAACACTGGTGAGCATCGGCGCCGTTCTGGGAGGTCCAATCCTTGACAGAGGCAGAAATCGCCGGAGAGAAGAGGGTTGGCGCAGCAGGGGCGAGGGGCAGCTGGACGGGAGGCGACAAGACAACCAAGTTCAACAAGAGGTGAAGATATCAGCGTTGGCGGACCGGGATCCAAAAAACCACCGACGCGGTGGTAGGCGATGGGATCGTGCTTCGACAGTTAGAGCGCCAACAACGGGTAGGGTTTAGGCGTATCTGTATTCTTGCTTTTTAGCGATTGCTGATCGACGAATATACAAGGCCAGTTGCGACGCTTTATTATTTAGGCACCGCCTTGTTTCAAATATAAATTTAAAAGACGTAGACGACTCAAAAGACGTAGTAATTTAATAAATATATTGCGGCACATAAATTAAAACAAGCGCCACAGAGCTTTAAAAAAATTAAAAAATACTACGTATTATTTATTTTGTAGCGTGCGGCGCCGCATGGAATTAAAGGCGCTTTTTAAGTAATAGCCGCACGTCCCCTTATTCGAAGGCGCTTAATTTTAAAGCGCCGCAAATGACATGCTGCATATTGATAGATTTCCACTAGTGACACTTCGTTCAGACAACACTAAAAAAATATAGTTAAGGATGCAAGACAAAATAAGCATAAGTAGGGATGGCCCAGGTCCGGTCCGACCGGCCCGTGAACCGGCCCAGCCCGCTACTGTGCGGGACAGGCCTGGACCAGTTAACCGGGATCGGATCCGGGCCTAGGACCGGCTCAGGGAGATTGTCGGGGGCGGGCTCAGGCTAAACCTCTTTGGAACCGGCCCAATTTTTTTTTTTTTTGGTTTTTCAATTTTTTTGTGGTAGGCGGATTGGGTTGGGTGTTTTAGGGGGGGGGGGGGTTGGAAGTAATTATAACAACTTAAAAAAATACAACCCGACCCCGCCTAGGCCCGGTCTGGTCCCGGTGGATCCTGGGCCGGTTTCTGGCCTTTCCCCACAACCAAAAAAACCCGATTTGGACCCCCCCAGAACCGGTCCATGCCTAAGCATAAGTATACCATTATACAGAAATACATATGTACCCATTACAAACAATTCTATTGTGGCCTATACTGGTGAGCGCGTTTATGAACCAGAAAACAGAAGAGGTTTTCAAGTAGAATATAAAAAGGACTACGTATTAACTTTTCGTTGCATGAATGAAAGACGTGGGCTAAAATGGAATGAGAAGAATAGGAGCACTTCCCTCTTCTTTAATAACTGATTTTATATATTGAATTTTTATCATATTCAGAATTTTATCATAATTAAACATTAACTCTTAATATGCATTTAAATGTTGGATGGGGAAGTAATTTTGTTTTATCTTTGTAACAACGTAAAATGAATTGGAGATATCTTTGTATGGATCGGTACGACATAACGAATCCCAGGTAACTGTGAATGTTACAACAAAATAAAAGCAAATGATACTCCATATTTTTTAACAACAAACCTAGGTTCTGTTCGTCTGCTGACAGATGACAGGGGATGCCCATTCCAACAATCTTCTTACTTGGGAAAGTTTTTACTTTTTAATAAGAACAACATTTGCTTATTCTGGTGCACTGCAAAAATAAACGAAGAACGCCATATTAAGTGCTTTGCAACAAAAGATTGTGGGGGAAAAAGAACCACAAAAGCATGTAGACCATTCTTACAAATCCATGTTCTTTTCTTGAGAAGACCCAACAGGGTTTGACTTCTTTTTACAAGCATCTTCAAGTTTATCCAGTGGTTGAAGTCCCTGCACAATTCATGACAAAGATGGTCTAATAAATAGCTTTCAGAATCTGCGTAGCGGCAATTGCCTGATCCAACAAGCTAATAATATTCAAATTCAATGCATTAGCCTAATAACCCTTGCGAACACATGTTTAATCAACATTTTAGATAGTGAGGAAATCACTCAACGTTTTGTCAAATACTGTACACAGTTATCATTGCATCTTTATCAGAAGCGGATTGTATTCAAGAATCAAGACGCTATCATAGATCATATTGTAGCATATGAAAAAAAATAAATTCTTTCTGTATGATGTGCACAATTTTCTTATTAAACCATGTTTTCTTTTCATGATTATTTAAAAGTTACTTTAAACCCTAATTAGTCATTATTCATTGGTCAAATGGAACAACATTTATTACGTAGTACTCCCTCCGTCCCAATATAAAAGGCACATTTGCGTTTGGGGAGTTTTTAAGGGTGAACACTGTTTGACACTGTTTAGACACTGTTTGGCACTGTTTAGACACTGTTTGGCACTGTTTGGCACTGTTTGGCACTGTTTTGCACTATTTTGCACTGTTTTGTTTGCCAAAAAGGGAAATGTGCCTTTTATATTGGGACGGACCGAAAAGGAAAGTGTGCCTTTTATATTGGGACGGAGGGAGTATAATGTAAAATTAATAACTATTTTTTTGACTAACTATTAATTTAATGATAGAAATAGTACTTCCTTCCCACTTAGGGTCTTAGGGACAAACAAGAATGGCAGCAAACTAAGAACAACTGGAATCTTGTGGTTCACTAATCACTATCCATAATTTAGAACCACATAAATATGGTCAAATAAGGTATGAGCAAAAAAGTTTTGGACCAATGAAAATGCAAAATTGGACAAACATGGGTAAGATGAGAATGTCTATAAAATCTAAAAGTATATACCATTTTTGGTAATTAAATACGTAGTATCACAAACCATGTATGGAGTAACATACAAACACATCCAAATCATCTTTGCAAAAATTTCCCCAAATTCATAAGTATCATCCATGTTCCTCTAAACATAGGTTGAAGTGTTTAACCACACCATGTTCAGTCAATCCTACAGTTGCCCATCTATTTTGCACACACTAAATAGTTATGACAAGTCAACTCCAAACAGTTACAAAAATGGAGCCTATTAGCTTTTAATCAGCCAGGAGGGGAGGAGGCATAAACTCCTCTAGCTTTTAAAAAAAACACTTGAGAAGATCCCTTAGAAAAAGCAGATCACCTTTGAAAGAAAAAAAGGGACGAGATGAAAGCAAAACTTAAATATATATCCGACTTACTTCAAGGTTTAGAAATTTACTTTCTTCTCCTATTGAAACGTTTTGCTTCTTCATTCCGCCAACATTGTTATCTTCTGCGCTTACATCCCTCTTCTTCTTCTTGCCTAGATATAGTGTATTTGTTCTCTTGTCACAAACCTTCCATACAGTCTTCTTTCTGAACAACAATTTATCAAATTTCCATGGCGCGCAGCTCGTGTCAATCACAGTAACCTCACACCTGGAATATCCCAATAAATTTGCATCCATCCTCTCCTCACTCACCACTAAATCCTGCCCTTGCTCCAGTAGCTTCACCTGGCCGTTCATTTCTACTCTAGTCTGATCATCGCTGATGGGTGACGCTATTCTTTGTTTTCCTCGTTCATCCCTGGAGCCAGAAACATTACTGAATTCCACCGAAGTAAAAGCAGAGAAAATCCTAGGGTTCGATTGTTTTCGAGACTCCTTTTTATGTGCTGCATAATTACTCGATTCTCCCATATTAAAAAGCTCAGAGAGGACATGGCTAAAAGCATTGACCAATTTTGTTCCTCTGTCATCGACAGAAGCTTCAAGCACCGGTTCTTTCTCCAATTCTGCTCCATTCGAGCACAATTCGGAACTGATGTCTTCCGACCTCGGAAGAGCAGGGTTAATTGGCGGAGAATTCAGCGAAGTGGAAGTATGGTGAAGCAAGAAGTGTTCGAGGTTGACGAAGTCACTATGTGGGAAGCCCTTGGATGATCGGAGCCGGTCTAGCCATTTAGAGCCGCCGGATTTCTGCTTTGAAGTGGAACACAACATCAACTTTGGTGAGCGGTTTCCGTGCAATTGGAGATCAAATGTGAAAAAACAATAGAGGCCACTTTTTGCAAATTTACTGAGTAAATTTTTGTGTCATCATGCAATGATTTTTATACAGTTGTAGCCCATAGTATGTCATTTGATACAAATCCGTATACACGCGCATACATCATACATGTAGACATTCAAAGATAGAAGATTGGAGGTTAAGATTTAATATAGAACAACAATAGTATTTTTGCAAACCGTCTGGGCAGTAACTCTTCGGACCTGAAACACTACGTACAAGCCAATGTTTACCATAAAGTTTTGACAGGTGGGTGGATGTTTCTACGCATCAAAGTTGTGTGGGTGGGGGTGGGTGGTTCGAAATTTGAAATTTTTAATTAAAGTGGTGGAGTAGTCTGTTTTAATACAGAGTAAAAGGCATTCTAGCAAAATAAATGAACCGTTCCCAGTGTAATCATAATTTTAGAACACGTTTTTACTTGTAAGCAAAAAAATGGTTTTAAAATGGTATTATTAACCTGATAAAATATATTATCGTATAGGTTAAAAAAATTAATTACACCTGCGGAAAATTAAATGAAAAAAAGAGTATGTTTTAAGAAATTGGACTCTTGGGGTAAAAAGACAGAGGTATATATTTCATTTGATCGAGATTCATTTTATCAGGTGTATAATGATTAAAAATGTAAGTAGAAAGATTTAAATTTTTAATAAATGTCATAAAATTTGGAGTACGATCGTTAACAACACGTTTTTAAAATTTCATGTATTCTCATTATGGATTCGGACGTTTAGTGTGAATAGCCTCACGTAAATATTAATTCAGTGAAGTTTGAGGCCAAGCTGTTTGTTGGAAAAAATATGTTGTAATACATTTCTTATATCGGTTCAGCCAGACCCTTTACAAAATCAATCTTTAAGCAAAATTTATGGAAACGCAAATCTGATGTATTTTGTCAAAAATTTATTTAATTTGAAATTTAATTCGTCTTACTTTTTCGAATAAAAGTAGTGGTGCTCCGTTAGCTTTGATGTTTCTCCACTGGCGGGCAAGTGAAAGGTCTATCTGACCAAATACCTTATCTTTCGGGTCTGATGGATTTTTCAGTGTTTATTTTTACAAAAAAAAACAACATATTCTTCTGAAAATGGGTTGATCCATAAGGTTTTACTCTGACAAAAGAATTAAAAATAAAATCAATCAGATCTGAAGGAGAAGAAGTCGTGTGCAACATAATCAATAGGTTCAAGTTTCCGGTAAAAAAAAAAATCGGGTGGTTTGCGAGTTAAAGAAGCTTTGTAGATGAATTCGTGTGGTGTTCGTGCATGTAAAGGATCGGGTTAGAGGTTTTGGTTCGGTGTGTTCGAGGACGAAGAATGTTACCTGTGTCTCCGGCCGTTCAACGAGCGAAATCCATCCCACTTGGTTGTTGCTGACCATCTTGGTTCGTCTCTGCGGTGGCTTTGAGTTCGATTGTTGTGGCCGGAGGGTTACCTGTGCGTTCCGATGGTTTGAGAAGAGATTGTTGTGGCAGAAGTGTTGGGTTGTTTGGGTCCTGGGTTATTCGGACGCTGGGCCAGCCCATTTTAGATATTTTGGGTGTTGCCAGTCTTTTCCAATTGGGTTAGTGGTTTTGGATTTAGAAATTTATTTATGGGATATTTATTTATTTATTTGATATATTATTATGGTTGGGAGTAAACAGCTTTGTGTATTTTATAAAGTCTGGTTCGATTCAGGTTAAGAAAATGAGAAACTTAGGGCCTGACAGAGATATTTTCCGATTTTTTATTTCTGTTTTTTGTTCTCAAATTTTCTGTTTTTATTTTTCAGTTTTTCAATCTCCAATTTTCTGTTTCTATTTTTTAGTTTTCCATTTTCAAATCTGAAAACATGTTCATCAATTTTTTCACTCAGTTCTCCAATTCACACCCTTGACCCCCTACTCCTACCCTTACCACGATCTTACACTCTACCCATACTACCCCACAACCCTTTATACCCACCCATACCTACTCGTAGGTGTCGGGGTGGCGGGTAGGGGTGGGGCATGGTCGGGATGGGGTGGTAAGGTCTAGGGGTAGGGGTTGGGTGGAGGTAATGAGTGGGTTAGGGTCGTGGTTAAGGGTAATGGTGGGGTAGGGTTGGGGTAAGGTAGGGGTAGGAGTTGGGATAGGATGGCGGTAGGGTGGGCCGGGGATCCATGTGGGGCCGAGGTAGGGGAATGGTAGGGTGGGTGGTAGGATGGCGGTACGAGGGTGGGGGTAGGATGGAGGTGGGGCGGGTCCGAGGTAGGGGGCATGTGGCAAGGGGTAAGGTAGGGATGGTGGTAGGGTAGGGTTGGGGTGGGGTCAAGGTGGTAGGGGTGGCGGTAGGGTGGATCGGGGTGGAGCCGAGGCAGGGGCATGTGGTAGGAGGTGGGGTAGGGTCATTATAGGGAAAATGGGTACGCGGGGTGGGGGTTGGGTGGGTAGGGTAGGGTAGGGGTAAGGGGTAAGGTACGAGGATGGAGGTACCGGAATGGAATCCACATCGGAGCGGGACCGGACCCACCACTAGGTGTAAGTATGCAAATTCATTGCAGCGACACTGTAGCATCTGCGTTTTCCAAATTTGGAAAACTAGTAAAAGTCATTTCTCCAAATCATTAAGGAAAAGAGAGACATTTTTCCTTTTCCTTTTTTCGTTTTGGAAAATAATTTGGTAAACGCGTTTTTGTTTTTTTCTTTCTCCAGTTTTCCAGCAATTTCTTTGGTAAACACATTTCCTGTTTTCTATTTTCCAGTTTTCCAGTTTTCTGGAAAACTGGAAAATATCTTTGTTAGTAAAAAGACCCTTATGTTTTCAATCTATGGGAAAATAATCATTCATCTTTTTTTTCATCCCTGTAATTCCTGTATTATAATTTTCAGAAATTGCCCTAAATAAGAGCAAAAACGTTTTGAAATTCCAAAATAAGATTATCATGTTTTTTATTCCTTGAATAGGAGTAAGCTGCCAAGTTTGGAAAAAATGTCACGTTTAAGTCATAGTAATGCCAAACTTGGTGGAAATGTACTTTTATTCAGGGAATAAAAAACATGATAGTCCTATTTTAGAATTTCAAAACGTTTTTACTCTTATTTAGGGAATTCTCTCTATAATTTTAGCATTTGACTTAATTATTTAAAATTATTTTTAAAAGCCGATATAAATTTTGAAAATGCGGCCTATGTGAACGCATGACACGTATGAAATCATTTATCCGCAAAAATATAGGTGTATGCATGACCAGGGGTGCAAACGAGCCGAGCCGAGCCCGAGTTTATGTAGGCTCGAGCTCGAATTATATTATATTGGGTCGAGCTCAAGCTCAGCTCAAACGAGCTTAAAAAATCCGGGCTCGAGCTCGGCTCACAAATATTGATTCGGCTCGATTTGGCTCGACTCGGCTCGGTTCGGCTAGATACTTTTGGTTCGTTCAAAAATTACAAGTTCAATTAGCTCGAAAGTTCGTGTTCGAACTCAAGCTCAAGTATGAAACAATCTTTAAATATTTGTGCTTAACATTTGCAATTTGCAATTTACATGCCCAACAACTAAACCTTACACGGGAAATAAACAAAATATATATAATTTATAAAAAAATTAATTTATATTATATATTACATATACCAATATATACTCTGTATTATATACTACGTATTAATGTGTATCGTATATTAATATATTACATATATTAATTAAATGTACACACATATAACTAGGCTCGCGAGCTAGCGAGCCTAAAATCAGTAGGCTCGTTTATGGATCGACTGCTTAACGAGCCCGCTCAAGCTCAGCTCGAGCTCGAGTTTGACCAATCTCGATCTCGGGATTGGGTGGGGGTAGTGGGTGGGTTAGGGTCGTGATTAAGGGTAATGGTGGGGCAGGGTTGGTGTAGTGGGTAGGGTTGGGTTAAGGTAGGGGTAGGAGTTGGGATAGGATGGCGGTAGGGTGGGGCCGGGGGTGGGACCGAGGTAGGGAAGGTGTAGGGTGGGGGTAGGATGGCGGTGGGGGTAGAATGGCGGTAAGGGTGGGGGTAGTGGGTTGGGTAGGGTTGGGATAAGGTAGGGGTAGGGTAGGGAGTTGGGATAGGATGGCGGTAGGGTGGGCCGGGGATCCAGGTGGGGCCGAGGTAGGGGAAGGGTAGGGTGTAGGATGGTGGTGGGGGTAGGATGGCGGTACGAGGGTGGGGGTAGGATGGAGGTGGGGGTGGGGCCGAGGTGGGGGGCATGTGGTAAGGGGTAAGGTAGGGGTGGTGGTAGGGTAGGGTGGGTCGGGGTGGGGTCAAGGTGGTAGGGGGGTGGCGGTAGGGTAGGGTGGATCGGGGTGGGGCCGAGGCAGGGGCATGTGGTAGGAGGTGGGGTAGGGTCATTATAGGGAAAACGGGTACGTGGGGTGGGGGTTGGGTGGGTAGGGTATGGTAGGGGTAAGGGGTAAGGTACAAGGATGGAGGTACCAGAATGGAATCGACATCGGAGCGGGACCGGACCCACCACTAGGTGTAAGTATGCAAATTCATTGCAGCGACACTGTAGCATCTGCGTTTTCCAAATTTGGAAAACTAGTAAAAGTCATTTCTCCAAATCATTAAGGAAAAGAGAGACATGTCTTATTTTTTTCGTTTTGGAAAACGATTTGGTAAACGCGTTTTTCTTATCTCCTTTCTCTAGTTTTCCAGCAATTTCATTGGTAAACACGTTTCCTGTTTTCTATTTTCCAGTTAAATATCTCTGTTAGTAAAAAGACTCTTATGTTTTCAATCTATGGGAAATAATCATTCATCTTTTTTTTTTCATCCCTGTATTTCCTGTATTATAATTTTGGCATTTGACTTAATTATTTAAAATTATTTTTAAAAGCCGATATAAATTTTGAAAATACGGCCTATGTGAATGCATGACACGTATGAAATCATTTATCCGCAAAAATATAGGTGTATGCATGAGTAGGGGTGCAAACGAGCCGAGCCGAGCCCGAGTTTATGTAGGCTCGAGCTCGAATTATATTATATTGGGTCGAGCTCAAGCTCGGCTCGAACGAGCTTAAAAAATCCGGGCTCGAGCTCGGCTCACAAATATTGATTCGGCTCGATTTGGCTCGACTCGGCTCGGTTCGGCTAGATACTTTTGGTTCGTTCAAAAATTACAAGTTCGATTAGCTCGAAAGTTCGTGTTCGAATTCGAGCTCAAGTATGAAACAATCTTTAAATATCTGTGCTTAACATTTGCAAATTGCAATTTACATGTCCAACAACTAAACCTTACACGGGAAATAAACAAAATATATATAATTTATAAAAAAAATTAATTTATATTATATATTACAGATACTAATATATACTCCGTATTATATACTACATATTAATTTGTATGGTATATTAATATATTACATATATTAATTAAATATACACACATATAACTAGGCTCGCGAGCTAGCGAGCCTAAAATCAGTAGGCTCGTTTATGGATCGACTGCTTAACGAGCCGGCTCAAGCTCAGCTCGAGCTCGAGTTTGACCGATCTCGATCCGAGCTTTGACTGAGCGGCTCAGCTCATTTGCACCCCTATGCATGACATTTCATTTTGTACCAATGCTGGTTTATGTTCATGAAAAAATGAATATCAAGAATTTAATTTGATCAAGAATTTGTTCTTTGTGGTAATGTCCCTTTAACCATGACCGTTTCATTTAAGGATTATTTTTTTAGCTTTTTGTTTTGTTTTATTTCCTACAACTTTTAAGGCGTTTCGGACGACGAAGGGATTATGTGCCTTCCAAAGCACTATCAGGATCATTCATGGAAAATAATCATTCATTTTTTTCATCCCCGAAATTCCTGTATTATAATTTAAGCATTTGACTTAATTATTTAAAATTATTTTAAAAAACCGATATAAATTTTGAAAATACGGCCTATGTGAATGCATGACACGTAGAAATCATTTATCCGCAAAAATATAATTGGATGCATGGCATTTCATTTTGCGGTTTCAAGAGTGGCACTACGCCTAACACGACTCAAAATGTGGGTTATAAAGAAGTGGTCAATAATGTCTGGCGTTTCATTGAGTTGCGTTTGTAACGCATGTCTGGAGTCTTGTGCCCAATTGTTTTGGTTTAGTTCTTTATTATATTTGTATGTGTAATCTTTCATAATCAACCTGCGAATTGTGTACTTTCTTGATAATTATGTTTCCAAATTTTGTTTTAATTGTCAATAAATCTTTTCCGGTGAATGGTTGTGAAAAGAATTTTGAAGAAGAAAAAAAGGTTATACATTCACCGACCGTGCATCGCACGGGTGATTTACTAGTTAGCTTTTAATCAGCCAGGAGGGAAGGAGGCATAAACTTCTCTAGTGATTTACTATAAAAAAATCTTGAGAACATCCCAAGTGATTGGCAAAGACTCATAGTTTAATATGATTGGCGTAATTCATATCATATATATTCTTGTTTCATTTTTGCTTGTAAGAAGTTGACAAAATCCCATCATCGATTCTGGTTGCTTATTAGCAACTAGACAAAGCAGCAATCATATATTTGCAGTTTAAACTACTTAAGATTGTAAGATAAATGTACCCAGGATTACCATTTGGGTAGAACCAATATAGACAATGTTAAATTATTTAATTACTTTCCCAGTTCCCTTTGAAAAGCAGATCACAATTGAAAGAAAAAAAAGGAGGGACATTGTAAGGAATAAATGTAATTAGATTTTGATGATGCTAGGATAATTAGATTAGAATTTGAGAGTACCCCTACTTAGATTTTATGTACTAGAATTTTCAATTGTAAGTATTAGTGTATTCGACTATCAGAGTTGCTATGTGGATCTGATCAGAGCTGCTATATGAGAACTGCTTTCAGAGTCGCTCTCGGAAACCATGAGAGTTGCTCATCAAAGAACCATCAGTGTTGCTTTTCAGAGACTCGTCAGAAGTCTACATCAGAAAGACATCAGAGTTCGATGAAAAAGCTTCTTCAGAATCCAACTCCAGAGAAGCATCAGAGTTCGATGTATAGCTTCATCAGAACTCAACATCAGACAAGCATCAGAGTTCCCACACCAGAGCTCGACTTGAAACTACATCAGAACTACTCTTCAGAAAGCCATCAGAATCCAACGTATCAGAAGACTCCGATCAGAGTCCGACTAACACTTAGAAGAATTTCAAGGCCACTTCCAACGGCTAGAAGATATTCCGTCCAAGGAAGGTATTTAATGCTCATTAAATGAGCCTGATACGCTTTGGATTGATTGCAAATGATTGACCGAGAAATCTGGAAGATATATTATAAAAATAGAAAGCTTCCAAAACAGTGGGTCAAGTCAACGGTACGCGCATTTAATGCAGTTGTCTCCTCCTCCAACGGGCAGACAACCCCAGTATATAAGTTACTCACCGAAGAACAGGAATATAACTTTGCTACAACTTTTGCACATTATACTTCAAGCTCTCTTGAGATTCAAACTCTACAATCATCAACAAGACAAGCTTACGTTGGGAAGATTCAATTATTCTTATCCTCCAAACCCAACACACAGCAAAGTTCATCCTTTTCTTCAACCTTCAAGAACTTCAACTGTTCAACTACATATCTTTTGTAACGAAGCAAGTTGGAGAAAATTCTGTTTTCAGAACATCTTCTGCAAAGAAGGGCGTCCAAGTAACTGCAGTAGTGAAGTGGTGATACTTCCGGGAAGCTGAGTGAAAGGACCAGTCATCAGGAAGCAGGACTGCATCACGGGTGGCAACTAGACTTGAAGAAGGCGTGGAGAACTTCTTAAGTGCTAGGGACTAAGGCGTTGTAATTGATCTTTACAAGCTTAGTGGAACAGTGGACTAGAGGAACGCGTTGTTCATTGAACCACTATAAAAACTCCGGTGTCATTTACTTTACTGCATTTACTTTCTGCACCTAGAATTTTGACTGTTTAACTCTGAGACTTGGAATCTGTGTTCAGCAGATCTCGTTTTCAGAGTTATCAGAAAGGCATTTGCCTTAGTATTTTTGAGGCTACCCGGAACTCTTATCCGCTGCAAGACCAGTTCTGATCATCAGAACTCGACCATCTCTGACAAGTCAACTCTGACTTAGAGAAAAGTTGAAAAACTTGAATCAGTCTATTCACCCCCCCCCCTCTAGACTGATTACCAACTCAAACGGGACCAACAGACATGATGAAAGCAAAACTTAAGTTTATATCCAACTTACTTCAATGTTTATAAATTTTATTTCTTCTCCAATTGAAACGTTTTGCTTCTTCATTCCGCCAACATTGTTATCTTCTGCGCTTACGTCCATATTCTTCCTCTTTGCCTAGTGGTGTGTAGCATATAATGGGCACACAACTATTTTTTTATCCAAGGAAGTAGGGTGTCGAACCACAGAGAAGTGGGTAATAAAATAATTAAGCACAAACTAAGGATTAAAGTTGGGAATGAGTTTCTTTTGATTTTTGGTTGCTTGCAAAAGTAATAAAATAAAAGTGATTGATATGAGAGATTTTTAACAACACCAAGTTCAACAAATAGAAAGTAGGGGTAGAAATTGATAACTAATTGTTCAATGTTTAATTGAGAGACATAATTGTTAATTTTATTCTTAGATAGATGGTGAGAAGTTGTAGATAAATATTTTAGGACCCAACGCAAGTCATCTAAAATAAGTAACTAGTCAACATTTCCAAGTGATGACCAAAATGAGACTAGTTGTTTAACTATATTATTTACCCAACCCCGTGGTGTAGATGATATAATTAAATAATTAAATTCTCCCTTAAAACTTCAATCCGGGACAAGGTAAAAGAAGTTTAACGGTGTGTTCAGAAAGTGTTCATTTGTGTATTTAACAAACAAAATGTTTATGATTGAGTTCTCATAATATATATCACAAACATAACTAATTAATTTTCTGGACACAACAATCTAAGTAGAACATACTTAACAATTAAAATCAATACAAATTAAAACATAATAAGAACAATTAATTAATCAATTTTTAGCCCCAAATTTATTTAGCTATACATGTTTGGAAGCATAGAAATAGATGAATCCATAATTAAAGTACAAGATTTAATGAGATAAGGAAGATCAAACTTGTGATAGATGACAATCCTTGAAGCTTTGGGGCTAATCTTGACTTAATCTTGGATAAGGAAGTGATTAGTTGTGGTTGAAGATGAGTTGATGATTTGAAGGTGAAGAATGAAAAGAGAAGGAGGAGGAAATGTTTCTGGGATGTGTAGAGAGAAGTTGGCTCGAGATTATGTGTGGAAGGGGATGTATTAGGCCATATAATGATATAAGGTGATTAATCATTGCTGGAATTTACGGAAGAGATAAGTTTATGTACAACACAGTGCAGTGATGTTCCAACAGTTTGATTTAGTGTAGTGGTTGAGTGACTAAGGGAAAACTCGGAGGTCATGGGATCAATACTTGGCTTCATCATTTTGTTCTTCTTTTCTTTGCTGCGTTCACAAGGAGTATAATAATTGTCAGCTGACTTCTTTACAACAATGAGAACTAGCTTGCTGGTTTGTTATTTTTGCTTCTTGCCCAATGACCTATGTTCGACCCCCAACTCCTTTCTTTTCATTTTTTTGTTTCTTTTCTTCAATTTACTCCTTATTTGCTTTGAAGGAAATTCCATTTTTATTGACCTCCAACTTGAACTTTTATTTTCTTCTTTTTTTCACACTCAAATGTATCCAAATAGCATCAAATGTACCTGAAAATATAAAATACCCGTATAGAACTGCACTAATACAAACTAACGACAAATAATAAAAATATGTACAAAAGTAGAACTTTAATAACTAAAGTTAACAACAAACTAAGTCTAAAAAGTGTGTAAAATATAAGTACATCACCTAGATATAGTGTATTTGTTCTCTTGTCACAAACCTTCCATACAGTCTTCTTTCTGAACAACAATTTATCAAATTTCCATGGCGCGCAGCTCATGTCATTCACAGTAACCTCACACTTGGAATATCCCAATAAATTTGCATCCATCCTCTCCTCACTCACCACGAAATCCTGCCCTTGCTCCAGTAGCTTCACCTGGTCGTTCAGTTCCTTCATTTCTCCTCTAGTCTGATCATCGCTGATGGGTGACGCTATTCTTTGTTTCCCTCGTTCATCTCAGGAGCCAGAAACATTACTGAATTCCGCCGAAGTAAAAGTAGAGAAAATTCTAGGGTTTGATTGTTTCCGAGACTCCTTTTTATGTGCTGCATAATTACTCGATTCTCCCATATTAAAAAGCTCAGAGAGGACATGGCTAAAAGCATTGACCAATTTCGTTCCTCCGTCGTTGACAGAATTCGGAACTGATGTCTTCCGACCTCGGAAGAGCGGGGTTAATTGGGGGAGAATTGAGAAAAGTAGAAGTATGGTGAAGCAAGAAGTGTTCGAGGTTGACGAAGTCATCGGGTGGGAAGCCCTTGGATGATTGGAGCCGGTCTAGCCATTTAGAGCCGCCGGATTTCTGCTTTGAAGTAGAACACAACATCAACTTTGGTGAGCGGTTTCCGTGCAAATGGAGATCAAATGTGAAAAAACAATAGGCCTCTTTTAGTAAATTACTAAGAGTAAATTTTTGTGTCAACAAGAAAACTTTGATTTTTTATACAGTTGTAGGTCATAGTATGTCATACGGAGTATAATATTTTCTTATCAAATGGACACCCGTCAACTTCGAACACAATATAATTTCTTTTGGACTTCATCCCATTTATCTCCATCTCCTCATCTTTCCCATACCCCGTAATTAATCTGATCACATATTTGAAAACAATAAGAATTATTATTAACTCTAATCAATATATATATAAAAGAGGAACTTTTAAGATCATATTGAGTGCCACATAACCCTACCATGTCATCATATATAACAATTATTTAATTATTTTCTATACTTTTTTATTACGTTCTGTTTTTTATTATGTAAAGTTATGTTTTTATTTGGTAACTTTATGAACTTCAAAACCAACGTGCATGTAAGCCAGATTTTATTTCTCATTTCAGAATTTAGAAACACAAAGCCTAAGAATGTAGCCTTTACTTTGCCATATTTAACTTTAAATTGATGACCATAGGAACTTTACATATTAGTTTAGAATCCCTAAAGACTCTTCATATATATATATATATATATATTTAATTTAGAATTGTTCAATCGAGAAAATAGTTCAAATTTTAAAAAACTGAACTTTTAAACATTTTTAATGTGACGAAATTATGAGTAAAATGTAACATCTCACTATTAAATTTAAAATTAACTATGCATATCATTTTGCCAGAATTTAATCAATTTCAACAACTAGAATCAGTGGATTCGATCAAATTTAGTGTTATCGAACACGCTCTCTATATATATATTAAATTGAGATGGGTTGTTTATTTGTTATGATATCTGATTAAGTGATATTTGTATTTGGTTTTTTTTACAAGAATATTACTAAAATAAAACTTGTTTACTTAAATATGACTATTCATTACTACAACGTAGTGCTGTGATAACTTAAGTTCATAACTTGAACATGAATTACTATGATTTCATTACTACTATAGTAACTAGTCATATTTTTTTAACCATCTTTATTTTGGTTATATTTATGTAATTATTTCTTTGTATTTGAGACTATTTATTTTGTATGCTAAACATTTTAGCATTTCAGAAACTCAAAACCTACGACGTAGCAATTTAGACTATTAATGACGGTAGCAATTTAGCAATTTAGTCCAATTTAGACTATAATGGATCAGCAATATTAAATTCAGAACTTCTCAACATTAAAATTATATCATGTCCATGTAGACTTTTGTGTGTGTTTCTAAAATCAGGATTTAGAAACATAAAAACTATGTATAGTGTAGATGTAGGCTAATACATTTTACTACATATTGATGATCATAGAATTGAACACTTAACTAATATAAAAAGAATTCTGTAAACTATAGTATGTTTTCATTTTATAAAATTCAGTTATTGATCGAGCTTCTCATTCGTTCGGTAGCATTTGATAGCATTTGAGATGGATTTGTTATTTTCTAATATAAATTTGGAAGGGAGTAATAAACATTAATTTGTTTGAACTCAAATTTTTAAATTTGTACGAACTCATGTACTACGAGAAACTAGATACTCCCTTCGTATTTAAAAGATCACTAAATTAGGTCTTTGCACAATATTAAGAGGGAATGATAGGGTAATGACTAGTGTAGAAAAAGTTGGAGAAAATGTGAAAAGGTAGGAAATAAAAGATAGAAAGTAGAAAAGGTAAATGAAATTGAGTATTTTTAAGGAAAACCTTAATAAAAAGCAAAAGTGTATCAAACTTTTAAATACATTCAAAAGAGGAAAGTATAGAAAACTTTTAAATACGGAGGAAGTATATTATTATCTACTTTTATTATTTCAAAATTGAAAAAACAAATATACGAAAGTATATTAGTATCAGTAAAGTATTAATCGATCGTATTTGATTTTCTATTGAAAGTACAAAACAATTGTACCCTTTCTACGATAATGACCATTTAATAAAAAATCCTGACTTTTTTTTATTACCAATACACACAATGAGGTGATACTATTACTTAAATCATTTACCATCAACAAAAACACAATACATTTGGAATCATCGAGAATGAATCCCACTCACCATAAATGTGCTATGGTTCTCTATATGAGTGGACCTAACATTTGAATTGAGCATGGAAGGCGGAATACGTTTAGAATCCCTTAACTCTTCAAACTTCTTTTTTTTTACTCCGTATTAGTTTGCACAACTCATAATTGTCCAATTGAGAAAAGAGTTGAAATTTAAAAAACTCCACTTTTAAACATTTTCCATGTAAAGAAATAATGAGTAAGATGTAACATCTCATAATTACAATTAAAAAATAATTATGCATACCATTCAGCTCCAAGTCCCCAACTTAATCAATTTCAGCAGAATCGAGCAATTTATTCGATCAATTTAGTGTTATCAAACGAGCTCTCTATTAAACTGAAGGGTTGTTAACTTTTTTCTATTAAGTCTTGTCTGAATTAAGACAATGTCTGAGGTAAGATATATCTGGATTAAATGATTTGTATATGAGGCTATTCTTTTATGCTAGATAAACAATCTGAATCGGGTAAAAATCAATTAAGTATTGTTCTTAGATTATAGTGTCAATGAAGAGCTTCATTTATTAATATAAATCTACAACCAATTTAAAAAAAATGTCAGAGCAAACGACTTAATAGATGTTTTAATGCGAATGATTGCTAATCTCCAGCTTAACGATTAAGTCAATTTTTGGTTGAATGATTAAATCATATTTTCAATTAAGTCGTAAGTAAACATTACTTTATGATTAATTCAGCATTGCCATTAAGTGTATAAGTCAAAAGTAAACAATCCCCGAATTTATTTTGCTTTTGCACTACATTATATACTCATATATATGATTCCAAAGAAATCACATTTAAATTAGCTAAATTAAGTGATGCACGGGCTTGAAAACTAGTTCGGTCATAAGAGAATACCAACCAAAACTTTCATATCAATTTCCCCGGCTAAAACTAAGCTAAATGGAACAAATGAGAAACTATTTTTGAATATTGCTTAATCTTCCACTTTTACTACTTTTGTTTGAATTTGAAAATTATTTTGTACTTATGGGGAGTAGGCATAAAACCCTGGCATTGGAAGCAAGTTTAATGTGAAGGCACGAATGGAATAAGCTATCATTGTGACAAAATGAACAAAGGCATGAATTGTACATATATCTCTACAATAAGACAATGACCACTACTTATATAAAAATCTCACTAAATGAATACATGAATATTAATATTAAATGTATAGTACTATAAAATATATACGTAGTATGAAAATTTGTTAGTAATAAAGTATATTAATTGCCCAAAATTAGAAGACACCAAAAAGTATTAGAGCCCATTTGGTGACACCCTTTTTCGACTTATCAGGCTTATCAGCCAGCTTTTTCACCAAACACATAATTTTCTCTTTCATGCACTGAATTATGAAATAATAAGAGAAAACAAGGTTGAAATTATTTTTCTGGCTATATTGGCTGAAGTTACTGTAAATGATCATTTTAGCTATTTTTTAATATAAATTTTTTATTTGTGTTGGGTTAATGGCCCAAGCCGAGGTCCGGCCCATTAACCCCTTTTTACCAGACGCACGTCCAGTTAGAACACAAGGTTAGCCGCAGGCCCATGTTCCTTGGGGAGGGACGAACGTCTGGGGGTTCAGGCTCAACGGCCCATCGCGACGAACGTCTATGCAGGGACAAGGAGCAGGACCACGGGCCATCAGGGATGACGACGAACGTCTCCAGAGCAAGCCTATAGTCATCGAAGGAAATCCAGTCCACATGGTGAGAATCCACTAAGGCCAGGAGACGAACAGCCGAAACCTCTTGAGGGTCACTTGGAGCGATCCAGCTCGCTTCCCGGGCGGACGAACGTCCCCACTATTTAGGCGGGAAACCTAGATTCTGGCGGGAAGTGCATTTAATGCTGAAGATTTGGTGGTTGGGACACCAGCGGTCCATAGGCCTCCACGTCAGCATAGCCACCTGCCCATTGGTGGGTATAAATAGAAGCATTTATTTCATTGTAAAGGGTTGACAACTTTCTATTCTTAGCATCATAGCTATAGCATTCTTACTGGTAGCATCTATACTGCCTTGTAAGACGAACAGCCGACGTGCCTTTTTAGCAAGTAGATTGTACTTAGGGGAGTTATTACGAAGTTAATAATACCTATTTACATTGCCTGCTATTTCCTCTGTTTCCTGATCCATCTGATAGTTGTTGGGCTAAGTATCCATACATTTACACACCCCCTCCACTCGAGACCCTTTGGGCTTACGTGTTGGGCGCAAGGTTTGACGGAATTAACATCAACACTGGCGCCGTCTGTGGGAAGCTGAACTAAAAGTTTTCCAAACTCTCCCTGCTAGAACAGCAACAACCTGCCTTTCAACAAACACGATGTCAGGAAGCAACAACCAGCGTGACCTCTCCGAGCGTCTGGAATCAAGCCGCAGGAATCGCGGCCAGAACTCGGAGCAATCTGCGACGATATGGACCTCCGGGGGGAACGGAGGTATCACTGACCTTATTCCCCTTGAGGCCAGGCAGGATCCCCGCCTCATGCGGGAACTCGCTGACACCATGCGCCGTTTGGCAGATGAGCGGGAGGCTCAGGAGCAGGTGTACTCTGCAAGTACCCAACGAACACCCCTCTTTCCCATCCGCCGTATGCAGTCGTACGATGATACGACAGGATCCAGCGGCCACCGGCCCTCCGTCCATGAGCGGCTAGGTGGAGGTTCAGGCTCCCAAGGAACGGGAGGGCGAACAAATGTTAGCGCTGCTGCGTTCAGGGCGCACACGCCATCAGTTCCCCGCCAAATCTCGCGGGGGGACGAAACCCCAAGGATCAACACCGTTGGACGACGTTTCCAACGGCGAGGGGCGCAAATCCTTAGGCGGCCGCACGATGCTGTGGCCGCACAGCGGAACGCTGCCATCGAGGCAATGCCTCCTGTGTCCCCCGGAAGGGCCGCACAGGATGCGAGGCTGGAGGCGATGGAACGGCAGATTGCCGAGATGAACAGACAGACGGATGCCGGATCGGCCACGCCCTCCTTCTCTCTCACATCACCTTTCACCCCCCGGGT